TATCATGAATGGGTATTGAATCTTTTCCTTAGAATAATTTAGACATTTTAACTTTCACTTTATTTCTAGGTGTCTCAGTATTCTTTCTACTGTAATTAAATTTCTTTTCAAGTTATTTAAACATTTTCCCCCCCATACTCCTTTTCTTCCTGGGTGTTTTGTGTTCCCTTGACTGTAAATCTTATCTATATCTCAACTCTATATCTATCTATCTATCTATCTATCTATCTATCTATCTATCTATCTATCTATCTATCTATCTATCTATCATCTATCTATCCACCCACCTACCTGCCTACCTACCCCTTACTTACCTATTCACCATCTATTTCTTCCTAGTGCCTGATGCAATCACTTCCTTTTTAGCCACTTAGAGGCCTCAAAGTTTTCTCCAAGTGAACATGCCTAAAACTGACCCTCCGACCTCTAAACGTGTCCCACTTGAGCATAATGATTTATCAGCTAGCCTAATTTCTCTTGTAAAAGTCCTGCTGTGGTCTCTTTTCTGTCCACGCATTCTGTTTGCATGCACTGTTCACCACTGAGTTTCCCGTTCACTCCATACTCTGACCCTGAGCAATTGGGAGGCAAAATTATACCAAATCTTTCAGTACAGACAGTCCACTATGTGGCATTAGCAGTACCTAAGGCCCTCTCCGCTAAGTTGTATCTGCAGAGTAAATGTAATGTCCAAAGCTGTCTCCTGAGTCCTCTCTCTTGCATGTACCCCACGTCAGTACATCGCTCCACTGGGCATTTGTTCAAGCCTGACAGTCATACTTGTTATATCCTTTCCAATGAACCCCATATCTAACCCAACCTCAAGTCTTATTAATGTCGCCGCCAAGACCACTTCTGCTGCTGCCACCCTGGTTGAAGTCCCTGTCTCCTCTCACCAGGCTCCTTGCTTCCCCTCCAGCCCTTCTCCCCTCTATGTTGCAGGAAGCCTGACTGCTTCACTGTTTCTGTTCTGCCGGTTTCTGGAAAGTCTATCAACTGTTTGGGAGGACTATGCAGAAACTAAATTTGAGAATTACTATCAGTCTCAATCCTGCTCCTGATCTTTACCACTAGTAAAATCTCATTTACTGTTTTCCATCCATCTTCCTAGAGTATTACCAAAACTATACTTAAGCTGTTTCCTCTCGTAGAATGAAAGGTTAAAGAATTCTATTATTCTTGTAAGAGTTCTTCTATTTTTTCAAATTAATGTTTTTGGTTTTTTTGGGTAGATACCTAGGAACTATCCCATTATGTTTTGAGTTGCAGGAAATGGAATTTATTGAGCAAGTAATTTGCATTAAGTAGGTTATTTGCCTACTCTGCTATTTAATACTTTCAAAGAATCTCTGAGTTAAGCATATCATTATATTTTTATTCTCCTTTGTTATGGCCTGAAAGCTCTACTCCCCTCAATTCATATGTTTACATTTATCTCCAGTATGATGGTATTTGGGGTTGAACCTTTTTTGGGGAGGTGATCAGCCTCTGAGGGTGGAGACTTCATGCTTGGCATTAGAGTCCTTATAAAAGAGGCCCACAGAGAACTCAATTGATCACTTGCTGTCTTTGAGCCAGGACATGGGCTTTCACCAGACACAGAATCTGCCTGTATCTCATCTTGAACTTCTCAGCCTATACAACTGTGAGCAATACATTTCTGTGATTTATGAGTTGCCCAGTTTATGATATTTGGTCACAATAGCCAAGACTAAGACACACTCTTTTAGATGAGGAAACTGAGCTACTAATTTGTAATGATCTTTGGCTGCTTATATTTAACGGCTTAAATAAACAGAAGTTTGTCTTTCATGAAAAAAGAGGAGTGGAGCCACTGTTTCTGGCCTGGACACTAGAACTGTGAATACTTTCCATGTATAGTGAGGAAAACCTTTATAAACTGTAAAAGGGGCTGTGACTATGAATTTATCATGAAATTAGTGAATATTATAATAAAACATGATATATAATATGCCATGTTTGTTATGATATATTATTATTTTATGTCATAGCTGTAAATCTTAAAAACAATGATTTTCTAAGTATGTCAATTTGAAAAGTTTGTAAGATATGGCCCTACTTTTTTTTTTTTTTAAAGATTTATTTATTTATACATACAGAACTGGGTTACAGGCCAGAGGCTCAGGGGCGGTGAGAGACTTCACCAGAGACAGAGTGGGGAGCAGAACAGGCAGATCAACGAAGTACACTGCTGAGGGGAGCAGCGGGCGGGTCAGGAGAGGTCTGCCACGCCATATGGTCACCTCCGGGACAGGCGGGAATCGAACTCATGCGGAAGTGGCTTTAGCTTCTCAATGCAGTGCTTTAACCCGCTGCGCCACCCGGGAGGGCCCGGCCCTACTTTTTATTAACCATGTGTTTACAGTCAAAGAGAAAAATGTTCAAATATTATACAAATGGTGAACTATAGGATAAGAATTTAGGTACTTTTACTTATTTATTTATTAAAGATTTATTTATTTATGCTTACAGAACTGGGGTACAGGGCAGAAGTACAGGGTTGGTGAGAGGACTCACCAGAGGCAGAGTAGGAGCAGAAGAGGCAGATAGATTGAAATGCACTGCTGAGGGGAGCAGCGGGATGGGTCAGGAGAGGTTTGCCACACCTTATGGGTCAGCTCTCTGGCCAGGGATCGAACTCATGCTGAAGTGGCTTCATAATGTGGTGCTTTAATCTGTTGCACCACCAGGAAGAACCCATTTAGGAATTTTTATTATTTTTATTAATCCAAGTTTTCTAGCTTTCAATATTGAATATAGGTTCTCAAAGGACTGGTGGGAAGGGGGAACTGAGGAAGCACCTGTGGGTCATGTCCCTTCCAGAATCCTCTCAGAATGTGCATTCTGGCTCAAGGGCTGCCATATTGGTATGATGTCTCTGACTCCAAAAGAGTCCTGACCTACGCAGTCTTGTTCCACAGTTGGGCTCATCCCTAGTCTCCAGTGCCTGCACTCCTATTCCTCAGAGAGGAGGGCTGAGCACAGGGGCGGGGTGGAGGGGGTGCAGAGAGTATTTGGACCTGGTCAAAGGGTACTAGCTGTTGAGTCACCCAGGGAATAAAATTCCTTGTTTGCCTCTTGATGGATTTGTGAGCTTGGTCATGTTCCTTATTTGCTATCATCTTCATTTTGTTGATGATAATGCTATATTATAAAAATGAGATCAAGTATATATGCAGTGATTACCATATAATTGGTATTGAGTAATTATGATTTCTTCCCTCTAGAAAGGATGACTTGTGTGTATATTTCTATTGCTTAGCATGAGGGGTTTAGTATAGTTAAACTGGAATGTGGGGTGGGACAGAGAATTGGAGGGGCAGTTTATAAAACCAATTAACCATGTACCCCAGGTAAATGCTGTATTTCTGCCACCAGGAAAAATAGTAGCAAGAGAATTTCATAGACAACAAACACTCTACTAAGGGAAAGGGGGCATTGTTGTCTTAAAGCTGGAAGAATTTTCAGCTAGTTGCCATAGGAGATGTTGGGTTTCTTCCAGCGAAGACAGTTGCTTTTTCCTTTACTACACATGGCAGATAGCAAGGGGTGAAGCTGCTCCTCTCTGCATATGGTGGGGGAAAGTGAGGAAAGTGTGGTGGAATAAGAATTTAAGAATAAGTGCCTCTCATGAGGTCCTGGGTGGGGAGAGAATTGGGCCTTGAGTGGGCCTAGACGTCACATAAGGTGGAGGGAGCAGGAATTTAGAGTCACAGGAGATCTAAAATCATCCTTTTCCTCCATGCCAACTGGTCTCAGAAACTTGGAGGGAATATTAGATTTTCTGCCATTTGTGATGAGTGTTTGAATCACTTGGGAAAATGTAATGTGAGCATGCTGGAGGATTTGGGGGTGCCTGAGTTCCTTGTGAAGAGTTGTGTGCCATCATCTCCACATGCTGAAGCCCAAAGAAATAACTCACAGGTTCTTTGAAACTTATACATATTTCTACTGTCAATATCATGCTGTCCTGTAAGCACCTATTGAACATCCAGATCTCCAACTTGACCTTTAGTTTATTGAAAGTTGGGGCATTCTCAACGGCCAGCGTGTGTCTGTCATCCATGTAACTTTGTTGACCTTTCTTGATTGTCATTTAAGTCCCCACTGTGCTTCAGTACTTTGGAGTATGAAGTAGGACAATTTCTGCATTTGTCACACTCCTAGAAAGGATGTCATTAATTTTTTTTTTCATTTTGGGGAATTTTTTCAAATTTCCCTTTGGTTAACCTTCATTTTCTCCTATTTCTCCTCTAGATCTTCTCCCATTCCCTCTCCCCCTTGTTCTTAACTGAGGTAAAGAATAAATGAACAAGAATAAAGTGTACCACTCACTGAAATTTTACATACTCGTATGCCTGTGGAATAGTCTCTCAGATCAAAGCTCAGGACATTTTCAGTCTCCACAGGATCCCCCATGTGCCTTCATAGTTGGATATCACCTTCTCTAAACATAACTGATTTCTAATGCTGGAGAGGAGAGTCTACTTTTGCTGTTTTTGATCCTCATATAAATGAAAAATGCAGCTGTATTCCTTTGTGTCTGACTTCTTTCACTCACCATTATTTGTGAGATTAAAACCTGGTGATGTATCAATAGTTTGTTGTTTTTCATTGCTGTGTAGTATTTCATCACACGAGTAGTGATGATGGTTTTAACAACAAACTATTATTTGTTTTTCCGAGAAAAAGGTTTTCCTAAATCTGGAATCTTATTTTGCCAAATAATGGAACACTAAAGCAAGGGAAAAGGGGTCCATCTTCAGTAACTATGATTTAATGAGACACAAAAATGAACAGATCCTTAGTTTAATCCCCCCCCCCCCCAGCAGGGTGGAAAATTGATCTTCTTGATTCAGACTGTGGGTGTTAGTTTGGACTATGGGAGTAACAGGAAATGGCCTTCTTGAGTGAAAATCTCCCTCACCTGACAAGCTGTTTTATGTGTCTCTACTTTCCCCTGAATTGATGGAATCCAGTGAGATGAGTCAGAAAATGGGTAAGGAGGGTCCCAGACTCTCCAAGAACCAGAAGTTTTCTGAGCACTTCAGCATACATTGCTGCCCGCCATTCACATTCCTCAATTCCAAACGCGAGATTGTGGATCGGAAATACAGCATCTGTAAGAGCGGCTGCTTCTACCAGAAGAAGGAAGAGGATTGGATCTGCTGTGCCTGCCAGAAGACCAGGTAAGTGGTCTGCTGGGCTGGGCGCTGGCCTGTCGTCTCTCAGCGCCAGGCCCCCCGTCCTACTCTTCTCTGTGAAGCCTCCCCACACCCTTCAGTCAGCTCCCTGTTAGGTTCGACCATTGCAAGATACAGAAGGGAGTTTGGAAGGTGGGAGGGGGAGCAGGGCCTGCCTTCCTGTTTCCAGCTCCTGTCAGCATCCCTTAAGCACAGAGGAGAGCCATGGCTCCAGTCTCCAGCTTCTTTTGGCCCTCTCAGCACCAGCCGCCGTGCAACGTCCCCTCAGAGGCCCAAGCTCCAGCCAGCTGCACCCCCCGCGGTGGTCAGAGCACCAGCCAAGCCACGGTCCCCTCCGAGGTCTGAGCGTCAGCCACGTCCCCGCCCAGAGGCCCGACCACCGCCAGCCAAGCAGCGTCCCCCTCAGAAGTCCAAGCAACCGGCGCGAAGCAGCCCCCAAAGAGGGCCGGGCACCAGCCGTGGGGGGTCCCCCAGCAAAGCTTCTAGGTTCTGGTAACACCAGCTCTTTCCTTTTGTTTCCCCCAGCCCTAAGGTTAGTAGCTGCTTCTTGTGTTTACTAACATCTGGGTTATCTTGCTGGACGGAACCTATGTAATCATTTCTCTGCATTAAATCCCCTGTTTGAAATACTTAGCGTGGCTTCTGTTTTCCTCATAGACACAGTGAGAGCAAGGCTTGGATGGCAGTATCATTGCTTCCTTTACCTAGTGGGCTGAAAGTGGTTGATTTACCAATTCAGATTATCCAACACCACTACAAATTGGATAAATGAGGACCTTGATTCCTTTGCCTCAGAGGAAGGATTAGAGACTTAGGAGTGTATATCTGTACGTATAAAAGGAGAGGTTCGGCCATTTTGTTCATCACGCTCCCACTATTCTTCAGCTGATGTTAATCTCAGACTCAAGATCAATCATGCTCATTCACTCATTCCATAGACCTTACTGCATACACTGAGAGCTCCATAGACCATGCTGGGGAACGGGAAGATATTGGCGTGAACAAGCCAGACTGCTCGTGATTCCCCAAGAGAATGGGCTGCAGTGTAGGTTGTGAATACCCGGATATTGTCATAGTCACTGTGGACGTTGGGCCAGGGATCCCTACAGCAGGAAGTCATTGGTTCTGCCTCATGAATTGGGGGCAGGTTACACTAGAATCAAAAAAGGGTGAGCCAGAGAGGGCCTCCATCATTTCTCATTTCAGGTCAGCATGTTTTTTTTTTTAATAGATTTTATTTTTTAGAAAAGTTTTAGGCTCACAGCAAACTCAAGTAAAAAAGTACAGAGATTTCTCATATGTTCTCTAGGCACACACACATACACACACACATGACAGACCAACATTTAGTCCTTTTAATATCTAGAAGTGAATCAGTCTTCTAAGTGAATAATGGATGTTAACTGCATTTGAGATTCTCATGGCCACTCTAATACCAGCTCCTGGTTAGCACATGCATTACTGGGTGTGCATGTTAGATGCGGTGCCCAGGTGTAGAGACAGCACAGTCAACTGGGAGCATGTTAAAGATGCTGGCAGTGTATCTAATTCCTCGTGTCACCGGTGAGCTCTGGGGCTCTGCATTTCTGACCAGCAATCCCTCTCCCCCCAGAACAGAGGCACAGGTGGTGCACAGACCATATTTTGAGAAATTCTGACATAAACTGTCCATAGAGAAATGATTCGCGTTATCTGTGATGTGTAGCAGAGAATGTAGAAGGTGCCATATTTATAGTGCTAAAAGTGAAAGCTTTACGAAGAGGGGAAGGTCAGGTGAGGCTGATTTGTAGAGGAAGCAACAGGCTGTCAGTCACTAAATCTACAGCAGGCATTTAAACACAAGGTTACCTAGTCATTAATTCAGGCCCTCCCGAGGGACCTGAGTGAAGGCACCCAGGACAGGTAAGTCCTGATACGTGGAGGTGGTTAGGAAATGTGCAGAGGAAAGGGATTCCTAAGAGGCCTGTCATCTGTGTTGGTGACGTCAAGCCACCTCCGCAGTGAGTTGCAGGAGGGCTGCTTGGAGGGCTGGCGTTCAAGCGGGGTACAGAGAGGGGGTGGCCGTGGGTGAAAGCACCTTAGCCACAGGTTTGTCTGGATCCAGCCTTGTTGGTTTTAGCCACCTAAACTCAAGAGATGGCCTAGCACTGGCACATCCTGACTCCCCCAGATTGGGGGGGGTGCCTCCCCAGTCATCACTCTGCCTGACGCCAGAGACCTGGCATCCACACCCACCGTTGAGCCTGCCCTCAGGTACTCATTTCTCCTTCTCAGATTCCCAATGGCCCCCAGGTAATGTGCCAGGTTTATTATTTTCCCTCCCCCACTGTCTTTTTATCCACATTCTCAGAGCACAGGGGTGGGAGGAAAGCTCCTTGGGGGGAAATTCACCCTTCAGCAAAGCTACTAAATTGCACTTCCAGAAAGACTCAGAAAGACTGCAGAGCAGGTTTGCTTCCGGAGACGGTGCCAGTGCTGAAGGTTGACCTTTAGAGATCCTCCGCCAGTTGTCCAGATGGTACTAACCAGCAGCCTCCCCTCCCCATGCCCAGACTGCAGTTTCCTCCAGAACAACCCCAGCTCAGCTGCCCCCACCCCAGGCCACCTCCCTATTCAGTGGTGCCTCCCCCCAGTCCTCTCTTCCGGCTGCATCAGGCGATACAACCAAAGCCCAGGGAAGAGAAGGGGTTGTTAAGACGGGGAGTTCTAAATGGCTTCAGCTTTTCCATGGTCTTTGGAGACAGGGAATGATGTCATTTTAAGTCTCAGAACGAGCCAGCCAGACATGGCTGTCCATTCTTCTAAGGTTTGTGACAGAAGGGCCAACTGACTACATGCTGGCCACCTCTCGATAGGTGGACTGTGCTCTATTCTCCCCTTGTGACTGGAGATTCATTTTATGTCATTTTGGATTTGCTTGAAATGATCAGACTCCCAAGGAACAATGTAATCATTCATGTCTCTGGACTTGACAAGGCAGAAGTCACTTTGGAAGCGCAGTGGGTCATGAGCAGTGGAGGCCTTGAGAGCTCTCATTGACGGAACCAGGTGGGGGCAGCTGCCCCGCCCAGAGGCCCGGCCACCGCCAGCCTGCACGCAGGTTGCGAGATGAGGCATCCTGGCTGCTTTGCCCGGGCCCCAGACACAGCTAGGAAAGTGCTTCTCCTTCTTATGTCCTTTCTGAGAGCAGAGAGCCACTCTGCATTTTCTACTGCCAGCCAACCGCAGAACAGTTTCTCTTTCTTTGTGCAAGAGGGTGACTAGACCTTCCAGGTCCTTCTTGAATTTTCCTTCTGTGTATTTCCCCAGGCCACTCAGAGTTTGCTGTCATGTCACACAAAGAACTTCTCTCTTTCCTACACATAATAAATTCCACCCTGGACTATATTATGCTTATTTTCATGAGCATGCTTATTTTGTTTATTTTCAGAGCATGATTATGTTTTGGCAATCTATTTTTGGTCTTGTCAGCCAAATAAAATCAGAAACTCATCATTTCCCAGATAACAGCAGACTTAGGAAAAGGGCCTGAGCATTTTAGTCTCGGATCTGGCTTTTGCCCAGCCCACTGCTCAGGCGGTGTGGCCCCTTGCATGAGTTTGGGTGACTCCACTCTTGAATCTTGCTCCTCTCCAGCTTCCCACATCCTGCTGGCCCCCACAGCACAATGCCTAGCAGAGCAAGTGCTTAGGCAGAGCTCGGGTTACCTGGAGAGGTCTCTAGTTCTCTGACCTGTGCCTTGGCCCAGTCTGCCTGCCCACCTGGTTGCCAGTCTTCAGTCTGGACCACTGGTGTAACCACCCCACTCTCCAGTAGCCTTAATCTTGTCTTCCATCCTGCTACACGCACCCCACAGATCTCTCATCTAGCCAAGCTGATGGTCCATCTGCTCTGCCCCAGCCTCCCAGCCACTGATCTGTGCCGAGCACAGATAGGAAAAGCCTTAGAGTCTTAAGGGCTCCTGCTCAATAGTGGATGCACCCTAGCCCCTGTCCAGACCAGCCTGCCTCTGCCAGCACCCCAGCAAGTATGCCAGATGCATCTGCCTTTAAAACCTTCCCCTTTTCCTGATCCGGTCAATCCTCCCCTACTACTCAGACCTGTGATCTTCCTCCTCTGCTCCTGTTTCCTCCAGGACTTTGCTGCATTATTTAGCTACCTACCTTCCTAATGGGTGCCACCTTTTCTGATTGTCTAGAAGTTCTGTAGTTATTAAACAGTTTCAGAGATCCCAATGACCTCTGAGTACTCTGAGGCTTCCTATGGCTGTGAGAGGTTGCTTGGTTTTGCAAAGCAGTGAGAGACCCATTCATGGGCATTAAGATGAAGGGAAGTCAGACACAGAAGGTGAGAGAGCTGGACATTTGAGAAAGTTAAGGTGGGTTTGTGATCCCGAGACCAGGCTGCGAGGCAGTGCTGAGAGCTGGCTGAGCTGAGCCCACTCCAGTTTTTCCTTCTCCATCTAGCTAGGTTCCTCCTTTCTTCTCTTTCCAAATTAGAAGCCAGGCCCAACATTTTAATCTCTTTCAATAAGCCCTACGCGCTGAATATGTCTCATTCTTGGGAAAACTCCAACTTTGGATGAGTTCAACCATCTGCTTTCACTGTTTATTTCCAGGCAGTTGAGCATCACTGGAGAAAAACACGCAGCAGGCAGCCGTAGTTGGGTATAAGCAGACTTGTGTTCCTCAAACCACCAAGCACTGTTTTTCTTGGGCAGCCGGAGTTGAGGGGTTTTCACTCAGGTGAAGGAGCATCCATGACCCTGATAAGTGCCATGCACGGACTCACAGTTCACCACAGGCACATACCTACACACAGGCTTATTGATATGTAATCTGCATGCGATAAATTTAAGCTTTTCACCAAATAGTTCTATGTACATAGTAGTGTAACTACCACCGCAATCCAGATGGGATATTTTCATCACACTCAAAATTTCTCTCATATTTCCTTTTTGCAGTCAAACTCCAGGTCACTAACAATCACTGATCTGTTTTCTGTTCCTACTGTTTTGTCTTATTGAGAACGTTGTGTAAATAGAGGATGTTCCCTTTTGAGTTTGACTTTTTCCATTTAGCATAATACATTTGAGATTGGATCACATTGTTGCATGAATAATTTTTACTGCTGAGTAGTATTCCATTGTGTGAATATACCTATCACCGTTTTCCAATTACCAATATTGAAAGATATTTAGGTTGTTACCAGTTTTGGGTACGTATGAATAAAGTTTTTATAAACATTTATGTGAGTATACATTTTTCTCTTGAGTAAATAACTAGAACTGATATTTTTAGGTCATATGGTAGGTGTATGTTTGCATGTATAAGAAACTGCTAAATTGTTTTCCAAAGTGATGGTACTATTTTACACCCCTAATGATTAATAGAATTGAAATTCTTTTAATGATCTTATATATCATATCTCAGAGATATTTATCGGGAAGTATGTGCTCAGTCTTTTGCCCATTTTTAAGAAATAGGTTGTTATTTTATTGTGTTTTGAAGATGTAAAAATATATCTAGAAACAAGTCCTTTATCAAATATATGTTTTGCAAATATTTTTCCCAGTGTATGGCCTGCTTTCTCATTTTCTTGAGAGTGTCTTGTGAGAAACCAAAGTTCCAGATTTTGACAAAGTTCAATTTATCATTTTATTTGCCTTTATAGGGCTTTTGTGTTGTATGTAAGAATTTGTAGTTTTTTCTCTAGAGTCTTAAAATGTTAGCTGTACATTACATTATTGTCTATCTTCAATAATTTTTACAAATGGTATGAGGCTCAATTTTCTTGCATATGAGTATTCAGTTGCTCCAGCACCAGATTTTGAAATATATTCCACCAAATTACCTAGGCACTCTTGTCAAAGATCAGTTGGTTATAATGTATAAGTTTATTGCTGGGCTTTCCATCTTGTTCTGTTCACTTATGGATCTTTCCTTTTACCAATACAAACTTGATTACTGGAGCCTTATAGTAAGTATTAAAATTATTGAAATCATTTAGTCTGAGTTTGCCATCGTTATTCTTCATTTAAACAATTGTGTTCACCTTTGTTAGTTTCTCTACTTTTCAACAGAAATGTTAGTGTCACTGTGTCAATTTCTGCACAGTAACCTGGTTACACTTTGAATAGGATTGTATTGAATTTGTAGATGAGTTAGGGGAGAACTATAGCAGTGCTGAATCATGAACACAACTTTAAACATAGATAGTCACATAAATTATAGTTAATCTAATGCAATCCCTGGTTAGAAAGAAAGCTTGCAAGCAATGGTTGCTTGGGGCCATGTGTTGTATGTCTTTCCTGGGTGTTGTTCACTTCCTTTTGAACAGTCTTTTCCCCAGCAACATGGGAGCACACTCAATACAGTCACGGTGCACATGAACTCTGTGTGCACAGTCACGTCTTTATACCTATCTATGGGCACTAAAACTAGATTTTCTGAGGAGTGAGCTGGCGCTTTGATTTCCTTTCTGCATTTTTTTGTTATTTAAAATGACCTCTGATGATTCAACAGAAAAGAAATAATTACTATAAATAAAAATAGAAGAACTTATGAACAATATTTTTTCTAGGCTCAGGTCAGGAAAAGTATTGTACTATTTGGTCAAATGCTGCCAGAATTAAATTAAAAATGAATTCTAAATCTCAGTTTCCCAGAAGAATAATAACCTTTAAAAGGTAGTATAAATACTCATGATTCTATTACTGAGGAAAGAGAGGAAGAGAGAACATCACTTATCATTGTGCATTTTTGTGTTTCTCTTTGTGAACCAGATTGAAAAGGAGGATCAAGCCCACCCCAAGGAAGAAGTGACCAAAGACTTTCAGGTGAACGGACAGTCTCAGCTTCTGCACTCACTGCTTTTTGACCCATGTGACCTTGGACAAGTTATCTGGCTATATCACGCAGGGACAGACAGCCATGACTGCAGCAACTACCGAAGCCCACCATCGCCTTGGCACGGGGGCTGATGAGCAGCATGCCTGGAGGTGAGAGGGGCTTGTGTGTTGTGTTCCACTGGTGGGTTCTTGCAGAGCTCCTTGGACTCCAGTGCTCCGTTCTCAGCTCTGAGCTCACCTAAAGTCCTTCGCCCTCAGGATGTACGTGGGCCGCTGGGGCCTTCGGACCAGGATAACTGAGGACCAGCCCTTGAGCTGTGCTCCAAACCTTTGTTCCTTCCTCGCCATTTTGTTGCTGAGAATGACTTTTGCTCCTTGACCTTCTTCATTGTCATTAACCCTCCACCTGAGTTTCTCTCTTCCCCTGTGCCACTGGGTTTCTGTTTGACCCCTTCACCAGCTCCCTGTACAAGTCCACAGTCAGAGGCACAGCGAGTTCCAGGAAGACCCAAGTTTTTTTCTAAGTAAGATACTAGGCTACCAAATGATTCAGAGAGGCAAGGAAATTCCCAGGAGGGGAGCTATGTAAATCCAAACTTCAGATATTGCCAATGAGGAAGCTGGGAGAAAAGACATGAGGAAGGAGCTCCTTCCCTCTTCCGAGATCCCTGCATCCAGCCTCACACAGGGTTTGTGAGTTTCCTCCTGGTTTTGGTCTGGGCCAGAGCAACACCAAGCACAGCACATCTGTGTGTGGGGAGAGGCTCGGCTCTGGGAGAGTATCTCTGGGCTCTCTTTTCTCTCCCAGGCACAAGTACTGGGGTGCCCATCTGAGTCCCAGGCTTGCTCTGTATCCAAGGACTGAAGCTGGTCACCAGAGAACAGACTTCCTTCAGGAGCCTTCCCTGGCTTAGGGTTCCACTGTATGCCCAGCAGTGGTCTTGCAGGAACCACTCTCGGACACTTTTTCCATGCAGCTCAGAGTTGGGGACGGAAGCAGAGGAGCTGGACTGGATGTTCAGGCTCTAGCTGGGTTCAATCTACCCCAGCTTGTTGGCTGATTTGTTTACTGGCTCCTAAAGTTGGGATTAGAAAGTGAAAGAAACAGGCAACAGGTCCTTTTTCCATGCTCGCCATCCCGCCAACACATTTCTGCTTAAGAGGCCAGTGGAAGGAAGGTGCTGTACTCCTCCCATGGACACAGGCACACTGCTCCTTCCCACTGTGGCGCAGAAGCCATGTCCATACCCAGCAACACCATGCTCTTGCTTGCTCTATGGTTTCTCCTTTTGTACATGCAAATGCTACATTGCCGTATTACTTAGTTTGATGTTTGTTCTGCTTGTGATTCTCCAGCCCAAGACCTTTGCACAGCTGCCTTCAGCTTAAATATCACCTCAGAGATGCTTCCCTTGGAAATTCAGAGTTGTTTCCATAGTTACTCTCAATCCCATCACTGCAGTTCCATTTGTCTCCAGAGCCCTTATTACCCTCTTGAATTATCTTGTTCATTCCTTTACGTACTTACTACTGGGCTCTCCATTCCCTCTTAATGTAAACACCATGATTGACAGCACTAATTTACTACTCCAGACAACGCTCCACACTAGCCAGAACTCAATAAGTACTTGTTGACTGACTGGATGTTTGTTTGTTTTTTTAATATGAATAAATTTTCAAAAGTTAAGGTGCTTTTGAAAAGTCAACGTTATATGTTGTATGTAGCAAAAACTGTAGGTGACCTTGCAGGGCTTCCGCCCTGCAGACAATGAGGGTGAGGAACAGGAATCTGTGAATGTGGACACTGGGCCACGAAGGGGAGCAGAAGAGTATCCCAGGAACCCACGAGACACTAGAGCATGTTGTGGAGAAGGAGGCAGCAGAGTGAGTAGATAAAGGAGGATGGAGCCAAGAACTGGGGAAGAGGGAGGATTGTGGGTGGCAGGATAGAATCTGGGACACAGGTTATCAGACACAGAATTGGGTGCATTTCCATTGGAAAATGGAGAGGGGAAAAAGGAAAATGCAGGTTCTGGTGGATTTTCAGGGTTAGTGGCAGGAGTTTGAGATTGTTCCTGTGTGTGGCTTTAATTTTCTCTGTGAAGTAGAAGATAAGATGAACTGTTGACAATGGAGTGGTGGGGGATGGTGTTTGGGGTCATATATATATCTCTATATGAGGATGGTGAGAGGATTATGAGGAAATCACTTCATCCCAGGTCTTTAAAACTTTCTTAAGACAAACCTTTCCTGTGTATGAATTTAATTAATAGGTTGATTTATATTTCATCACTAAGTTGTTGATAACTTCATATTTATATGTAAATCCAAGGTCTAAACTTGAGATCCATATGGTCTTAGATGGAAGATGAAAGTATTGCAGAAAGAGTCTAATCTTCTCAGGGAATAAAGAATTATGAGCAAACTCTCACTATGGGAAGCTGCAAAAAATTCCAACAGATCACAGCAAGATGGGGCTGTGGATGAGAGAGTAATTTACTGAATGTGCATCTGAGCTGCTATCTGAATAGCAAAGACATGTGGAAATTCTGGTTCTCGCAGGACGGTAGTCTGACTCCGTAGCTCATGTCTCAGTGACATAAACACGGTACCAGGTATCTCTGCTTTAATGAAATGAAATGTCCTTAATGGACAAACATGATACTGTTGTGTCAACAGTAGAGTGTACAGTTATAATTTGGAGAGATTTTGCATATCCACTCTTCTTATTTGTAACGCAGTTACAAACACAGGGGTATTGGTTGAGAATAGTGGTAAAAAGAACTTTCAAAATTTTTATTAAATTTTTTTAACTTGTAAAATTTTAATGCATTAATATATTTTTAGCATTTCCTTTTAATTTATTTTGTAATGAAGTACCATTGTTTTACATCCTTGTTAAAAATAACTTTTTAAAATTGAGTATCAGCTATGCTTCTATCCTCTACCATAGACACTTTGTGTTTGAAATGGGAGAGGTCAGTCATGGTGACTTTATTGTTATTATTTATACCCTGGAAGTTTTCATGCTGAGCTTGGTAAGGTCCTGGTGTACTTGGCAGTGTCACCGAATGACATGCCAGGGAGGCAGAGACAGCAGAGCCACACCTCTGCATCAGCCAAGTCTGGCTTTACAGTCTACGCTGACATCAGATTTTACATAGGTGAAGGATTCTGCTGGAGTAACAGAGTCTGCCAATGGCTACTCTGATGATGAAAACCAAATGTTGATAGAATTTTTATATTAGTAATTTTCTAAATGATGTATTGAATCGAAGAGTATATTTGGCATTACTGCATAAATTTGGGTTTAGTTGACTAGTATTTCAGTGACTACTTATTTCCTCTTAAGCCTTAACCTACTACCACGTTGAGTGTTTTGACTTTTGATCAACCGGCCAGGCTCATTCAAATGATGGGTGAGCAAAAGAGTATAAATTAACAAACAGTGCTGATAATGACACCTGTATTTTTTTTTTAAACATTTATTTATTTATTCATACAGAACTGGGGTACAGGCCAGAGGCTCAGGGGTGGTGAGAGGATTCATCAGAGACACAGTGGGGAGCAGAACAGGCAGATCAGTGAAGTACACTGCTGAGGGGAGCAGCGGGCGGGTCAGGAGAGGTCTGCTGTGCCATGTGGTCACCTCCGGGGCAGGCGGGAATCAAACTCATGCAGAATTGGCTTAAGCTTCTTAGTGCTGTGCTTTAATCCGCTGCACTCCCAGGGAGGGCCTACACCTGTATTTTTAAAGAAATTTATGTGAAAGGACCACATTCCACCTGGCACTAAAAATCCATTTCTGTTGCATAAACTATATGCATTGACTATAAAAATTATATTAGAAATATATAAAATAGACTGGAGGAGAGTGGAGAAATGAATGGTTACATATTAGAGATGTACTTTTACTTCATAATACATCACATATCTATCAGAGTTAAATCGTTTCATTCAAAAATAGCTATTAAGAGAGTACAACTAAGTTTTAAAAAAAGTGTTAGCCTGAATTACAAAGTACCTTTCAGCTTGGATTTTGAAAAACTGAGTCCATTTGCCACCTGAGGCTGGAAGCCTGTGGGGACCAGTGGTGATACCTGGAGTGACTGGGCAACAGCTTCCTGTAATCTCAAAGGGGAATTTTGGAGAAATAATGTAATTAGGATGCAGAAAGAAAGTACCTTTTTATGCAAGAGTCTAAATTTCTAAGGGTTCCTTTAGCCAGGGGATTAAAAGTCTCCAGCAAAAGGGTGTCTGTTTGAGAAGGCAGCTAACAGGCAATGGGAGATCTGTGGTGGTCAGTTAATGAGAGACACTCCTGACAAACAGGAGGCTTTCAGCATAAAATGAGCCCTCAGGGCAGAAGGTTAAGAGCCTTTTGGGCCACCTTTGTTAATGAATAAAGGGCCCAAAACAGAGGTAGATATGTTATCAGACACTGAAAATAGCTGTTTACTTCCAGGCAACCTGTTTGATTAATGATGGTAGAGAGATACCTCTACTGGGTTCACCATCAAAGACAGTCAGGGAGTCTGTCACTTAGAGGGTGTGTGAGTGAACACTCTGGTAGCTTTTCACCCATTTAATCATGTTTTCATGCAGATCAAAGTACAATTATCCCCAATGTCTCATTTCCCTTCACCCAGGTAGGAAGCCAATTCACAACTAATTCCATCCTGGGCACCGTCTTGCTTATAGCAAGAAAGTGAGAACCGGCACAGTTGGGAGGAGAGAGCCCAGGTGCACACCCAGTGGCCAGTCCAGCACGCAGGTGCTCTTACTGATAGGAGTCACTCAGTAGGTCTTCCTGGATTTGGTGTTATTTATGAGATTTTACAAATATGCCAGTCTTTGGGTTTGCTGTCTGCAGTCTTGACTCAGGAAGGCAGCTTCTTTCTTTTCTATAGGAGACTTTTGATGAATTTGAAAGGAAAAAAAAAAAGCCAGGTGCAGACTTGGGCTTTTTGCAAGGTGATCGAACAGAGTTTTACATAAACTGTTTGCACTATAATTCACCCTCCATTTCTTGATTCTCCATGAACAGTCTCTGCAGCTGACAGTTTCCTTTCTTTGTCTTCTGCCTTGTAAGCTTTCTGAGTCAGTCCTTGTTTTCTGCTGAGGGAGATGGTTAAAATCTCTACTGCCAGCTGCAAGATTTTGCATTTATTTTCAACCAGAGCTTTGGTTGCAAGTGGTAAAAAAAGGAATCATTTCCCCAACTTTTCCATCCAGCTGATGCCTTGCTGACACCTCATTATTTCTCTTGGAATGTAAATGGTGTCTGTCTTCTTCAACTCTTGTTAATGTGAATTTTGGAGTCATCTGACTTCCCTTACTGTTCATCTTTCTACCGGACCAATCTGCTAACTATTTATTTATTTTGGATTTAAAAAAATGTATTAGTTTATTGGGCCCTCCCTGGTGGCACAGCAGGTTAAAGCATAGCACTGAGAATCTAAAAGCCGCTTCTGCATGAGTTCGATTCCTGCCTGCTCCGGAGGTGACCACACGGCGTGGCAGACCTCTACTGACCCACCCGCTGCTCCCCTCAGCAGTGTACTTCGTCGATCTGCCTG